CTGGGGGGGGCATGGGGGGGACCAGGGCAGGTGAGTGCAGGGGGTGGCAGGGACAGATGAGTGCGTGGGGGAACCAGGGCAGGTAAGTGCATGGGAGAGGGGGGGAATAGGGCAAGTGAGTGCATATGGCAGGGACAGATGAGTGCATGGGGGGGCACAAGGGCAGGTGAGTGCATGGGGAGTGGGGACAGGCCAAGTGAGTACACATGGCAGTGGGAAGAGATGAGTGCATGGGGGCGACCAGGGCAGTGAATGCACCCTTCGGGGAGACCTGGGGGCTGGGCCAGGGCCCAGACAGCCAGCAGCAGGTGGCTGCCATCACTGTGGGTGCACTTGCTGGCCCCAGAGGCCCAGCCCATCTCCCTACCTGCCCACCACCCCCAACCCCCTGCCAGCCAGTGATGGCTGCAGGTCAGGGACCCAGAGCAGCCCTGGGAACTGACATGCATGCAGGCAACTAGCCCAGCCCTCCTTGGAGCCCCTGCCCGCCCTGAACACTTGCTCTGAACTTGACTCCTCATGGAGAGTGGGGAAGCCCCTGCCCCCACCTCCACTCGGCCCCCAGAGCTGCTGTGGCTATGGGGGAGATAGACGTTAAACTGCCACAGGCGAGGACCGGTGACAGCGGCCCCCAGCAAGGGACCCCACCCCCAGGGAGGGACCAGCAGGGCAGGGCAGCTGTCACGCTGTGCCTTGCAGGGCCGTGGGGGTATCCCAGGCAGGACACAGCTCAGACCCAGCCTAGACTGGGCTGTGAGGCCTTGCACTACCAGTCGGGCCAGCGGGCACCCCCTGGGCTGATCCTGCCCCATCTCCTCACTTCGGCATCACCTACAGCATCAAGCCAGGTGCTGGGCTGGGGGGGGCAGACAACACAGCCCCCTCCCCCAGCTCTCACTGAGCCCGAGAAGCAGGGTCCGCCACGACCACCCTGACCACCTGGCAACCCTGCCCTCGGGCTCCCAGCGAGGCCCAGGTGACACAGAACAGTACACAGGTGCAAGGCCACAGGTGGACCCCGTACTGGAGCGGGGCAGCTTCTAGGGGAGCAGCACCCACGGGGGTAGGAGGCCAAGCCCCGGCGGGAGTCCTCGGGGCAGGGAAGGTGGGCCTGACCATACTGGCTGCTGAGCTATGGTGGTGACAGCCTCCCTTGCTCTGCAGGAAGTACTTGCGTGATGCTGACCGCCAGGTCCTGGCACAGCGGGCCTTCATCCTCACCGTGAAGGTGCTGGAGGACACGCTGAGCGAGCTCGCAGAGGTACACCCCCTGCCCGAGCTCAGGCCTGGAGACCCCTTGGCTCCCCACTGCCTCCCCGGCAGCAGCTGCTGGTGTCCACCCCACCGCACGCCCACCTACCTCACATGCCCTTGACCATGCTCCTAGGCTCATTCCGGGCAGGATCCAGCCCCCGCCCCTACACGTAGCCTCTCACGCAGGTCCCTGTGCCTCAAAGCCCGAGCCTGCCTCACCTGTGAAGTCGACACATACCGGGTGGGGTGGGACTGCCAGTGTGGGGGGCCACTGTGATCTGCAAGCATGACAGTGCCTGGGCTCCTGGGGCAGTGTACACCTCAGACGTGTGCGGAGACAGCCCTGCTGACTAGAAGGCCACAGACCGAGTGGTCTGGGTGGTGGGGACCCGGGAGCTTTGGGGCAGGCCCCAGGGACACAGGGTCTTTGAATCTTCTGTTTCCTTATAGGGGTCCGAATGTCCAGGCCCCAAGGCCTGTGGTCCTGCTGGAACCAGGATGACCACAGACGTCTCCCACAAGGCCAGCCCCGAGGATGGGCACGAGGGCCTCCCTCACCTCAAGAAGCCCCCCCTGGCTGATGCCTCGGGACCAGGGCCCGAGCCAGGGGGCAAAGCGAGCCCCCCCAACCCCCGGGCTGTGGCCCCAGACCCTGGGGACCGCGTGGACCAGGGCGGGGAGCGCAGGGACAGGGAGAGCCCCCGGGCTGGCCTCACAGAGCCCATGGACACAGCGGAGGCCGCTGGCCGCCGCCCAGATGCAGAGCGGGCACCCCTAGTGCCTCTGGGGCACCCCCCGCGGGAGTGGGGCCCTGAGAGCCGGCCAGCCGAGCTGTCGCTGGAGGAGCTGAGCATCAGCGCTGGCCAGCAGCCCTCCCCACCGCCACCGGCTGCAGCCGCCCCCGGCGCCCCCGAGGAGCTGGCCCCGCGGCCCAGCCGCAAGCGGAAGCTCCTGGAGGACACCGAGTCGGGCAAGACGCTGCTGCTGGACGCGTACCGCGTGTGGCAGCAGGGCCAGAAGGGCGTGGCCTATGACCTGGGCCGCATCGAGAGCATCATGGCCAAGACCTACATGCTCATCAAGCAGGTGCTGGGCGGGGGT